AGCCGAGGGCGTGCCGCCGGCGGCGGACCCCGCTGCGGCTCACCGTGCCACACACCTGCAAACCCCCCTGTGCGGGTGCTTTTACCGTTCCTGGCCGGGTAGCAGTTTAGTCACAACATCCATAAAGCTTCCAGCACTCAACGCGTAGAAGACGTTGTTAATGGTGGCTGGTGGTGGTTGGGTTTTTTGGGGGGGAAGGCAGAGTAGGGTTTTTTTGTGGGTTTTTGTTTGTTTGCTTTAATTAAGCACTTTTAACAACTTACTGTCTTTTACTATCTTTAGGCACTCTTTTTCACTGGATTTTAGTCTCTGTAGGACAGCCGCGCCACCCTGATGCATGACACACCCACGACTGCTGGTGTTGCTCATCCGTGAAAACTAACAGTAAAATATCTAATATCTGACAAAATATGTTACTGGGTTTGTTTGGGTTGTTTTTTTTTTTTTCCAATCTACAGAGGAAGCGATACTAACATCAACTAAGACAAGGGGTAGTTACATATGAGGAAGTACAAAGTAGAAATACATACAGTTGCATTTTCATCTTCTTCACTGCTAAACACTTCAGCCTTTACCCCTCCTTTAAAAGAAACAAAATTTACTCAGTTTTCCAACAGTATTTGTACCATTTTTATTTGTAAAAATAACCATCTGAATGCATTGCAATAGTAGTTTACAGTTAGGGTTCTTCATTACATTAATACAGCATTCAGTAGTTGAAAAAGTTACTAAACTGTGCTTGAGAAGATTCAGGTTGAATTCCAAGTCATTCACTGAATTAAGTCTTTTTCCTCATTTCATATGTGACATTTACCCAAGTCCTTAAACTTCAATTTACAAAAGCAAACAATACCGACAAAACCCCACTGAAGCCATCAAACAATATTTTATATTGTTTATTACAAATGTTATGCAAAATATAACACTGGCACCAGATTCGTATCACCATGGTTTGTAAAGATATATTGCACATGCTAAAGCATAAAATATAAGACAAAACCTACAAAACATAAGATATTGGCTTTAATATGTAGATCACTGCATAAGAAACGCATAAAATTACATTTTATACACACACTCAGATTGTCACTAGTTTAAAACGCCCTTTCCTATAACACTGACCTAAGGTTTACTTTTTGTGTAATAAGAAAGCATTTTCAGCACTGCAAAAATTATACATTATTCCTATAGAAATTTAGCATATTAATTTTCATTTCAATGCAGGTAGAACATATGAAAAGAAGAAACACTTTATACATTCAAAGAAGGTCTGAAATGAAAATTTACTGGTAATATATTGCTTTCATAACACTCAAATGAAAAAAAAAAAAAAAAAAAGACGAGTTTCACAAAACATTTCCATAATACACAAATATAAAAAGGCACTCTAATATTTCTTACATGACTAAGAATAAAAATCACAAATTTTTTTAAAATCATCCTCAAGATACATAACCAGGTTTCTCAACAGTACAATGGATAAACAATTCATTTCATGTGTTTGTTCTAGTTCAATAATCTGGCAGTTGTTTACTGCATAAAAGTACCAAACACATTATGGTGCCCTTTTAGTAGCGATGAACAGAAATCCCCTGAGCTATTTCACAGCAATTTCAGGCAGTCCGGAGGTTGTAACTCAGTATCTATGAGAGAGACTTGGGACCCCATCCTGCTATGGATTCCACCTGCAGCTGTGGTTAAAATACAGGATGAAACGATCCTGCTAATACACTTGGGCAGACAGCTGCCCCTCCCCAGATACCCTTTCCTTGGTGCAGACACAGAAGTCGTCCACGTACTGTAAATTGCAGGATCCAGGGTTAAGTGCAACAATTACGTATGATTAACTCTACTCTTGTAAAAAGTCCACAGAAAGGCAAAGTGATTATTTACAAGAGTAAAATTATTCTCATGCTTAAATATCTGCCCTAAATTACAGATTTATTTCTACATGTGATAAATTATATTACAGATTAATGTACTAGCATACAAAAAAGGGATTCTGGTAACTCACATGAGATGTGGGACAGGCCAATACTGAGTACTTCCAAGTGTCTTGCGCATGACAGTTTTCCTCCTAAATACACCATACTCAAAACATGACTTTCCCAATGCCCTTAAGATGCTAACAAATCATATGTTTCTATGATTTTTAGAATATTGCATACTTGCATCATTGTTAGTTTACAGAAAGCTTTAATCGGTAATGTTTAGATTTGGTTCCTAGAAGGATCAAAGTAATTCAGTAATCACCTATGCTCCTAGAATGTTGTATACATCATTAAGAGGCAGCAGTTGTTGCACTACACAATTACCAGAGTTACGAGGTATTGCAAATATACACAAACATTTTCAGTAACTCTGTATGGTAGTAGCAAGTAAAAATACTGATTTTTTTTTTTTTTAAATGGCTGCTTAAAATAATACAACATCCTCTTTGTAAAGAGGACTGGGTTTCTCCTAATGAAGCAACTTCATGTCGGATTGCGTAACTTTCTGTATTTCAGGGTGAGACTTACAACCACTCCTGCTGAGGAGCCTACCTATGTCTCTGGTTAAACTAAGATTAAAAGGCTGATCCTGCTGTTAGACAGGTGGCAGCCATTTCCCACTGGTTTATTTGTTTTCAATGCCATCATTCCACATAAAAAAAAAAAGTAAAATTTGGGATTTCTATTAATTTCTGAACAGACACCACTGAAAACTTTAACAACTGATCTCGCCTCTTATTTTCAGTGCTTAAAGTAAGGTGGTTATTGCTATTCTGCAACTCTTAAAAGCAAAAACGTTGAGAAAAATAAATCGTAAAGATGTTATTCTGTGCTATTTCTGAGGAGAAAACCAGGGGTTTGGGTGCTCTGTCGTTCTATTGCAGAAAATATAGAGTTGAAGGAAAAGAAATGTTCACCTTTAGAGACACTATCCTTGTGATTTTTTGTTGTAAACTTTGGAAATTTGTTAATGTTCAAGGAAACAATATTTAATTTTAGCTAGGCAAAATAAACTTAATATATAAATATTTTTCTTAATTAAAGAACTGGAATCTGCCAATAGATTTTTAACAATTCAGTGGAACACCGCTAAAAACTGCAACTAAAACAAAAAGCCTTACTTTTCATTTACCCTGCCGAAAGCGTGCACTGAGGAAGCTCATCTCATCCTCCCAGCAGAGATATAGGCCTACTGCAGACAGCCTGAGTGTGAATCACGGGAACTTGTAACACCTTGACTCCTCACTGGACTACCTTTTCCCCTCTTTACTGTAGCCGTACAATGTTCTCTCACTTGTCTAGCAAGGGGTCGCATTTCTCTCTTATGCTCTTAAATGGTGGAAAGTGTTTTGCTGTCTGCTTTTTAGCAATATAGCCTGTGGACTTTATCTTTGCATTCCATACAAGATGATGGGCGCTCTCCTGAAGTGCATCAGCCCTTCCTTTTTCTACTCAGGCCGTCAATCTTGCCTAGATTCACATTTCATTTCGCATCATGCCAAACAGTATGCACAATTACTAACTAGGAGAACAAGCCATAGTTATTTTTCCTGGGCATTTGTTTCATTTTGAATAAATATAAACACATTTACATTAAAAGTATATGAACATATTCTTTAGTCTGGAAAAAAAAACAACAACCAAACTGTGGTCAACACATCATCAGTTACAAATGTCAACTTGAAACTTGCGTCATAAAATGTAAAATTCACTCAAGACTACTCATTACCTCAAAAGTTTATATTTTTATGGTTTAGAAAAACTACTTCATTATGTCACTCACATTTGAAGAAAAAATAAAAGTATCAAAGTCTTCCATTTAATTACTGAAGCATTTTGGTCCTCTTGGTACAGCTGGTTAGTTCATGATAGCTTTTTGTTTAGTTTTTTGTTTTTGTTTACAAAGTCTCATTCTTCCTTTTGTACATCTGGTGCAGGCGAGGGTCGTGGTCCATTTGACCTAGAAACTTTGGCAGAAGGAGTAAACATATTCACAAAGTTGACATTGCTTTAAAAGCTGGTGACAGTAGGCTTTTTTAGCATGTATCTCCGATCCCCTGCACGGTACACTGCTATGTTTTCTGGTGTTTGGTATTTCAACTTTTGGTGTTATGCTTTCATTGCTTTACTTTTGCTCTGTTAATCCAAACACTGGCAAAAGTATTTTAAAATTCAATACTGTTTACAGTAAAAATAAGTTATTTCAGCATAGAAAAGGGAAAAAAAATCCATTTAAGTTGACATGTCATTATAAACTTTTACATACACCTTTGTCTACACCTGATTTTTCTTTTCTTTTTTTTTTTTTTTTATGATACTAGATTCATGGTTAATGGCTCAGGTGACAGAAACATCTAATGACCCTAATTCTGTAGTGCAAATAAACCGTACATGTTTGTGCTGAATTGGAAAAAAATAAGGGCCAAGTAATTTTCATTTTACGTAAGTGGTTCCACTAATGTCTGTGGGAAAATATGGTGAGACAAGTAGAATTTGGCCTTAAGAGTTTATAACTATATTTTTCTAATTGTGTGCTGCAACTAAGAACTGTAAAAAGTGCCTTCTGTAGGTTTAAGTGCTTAATACACGCAAAATGTAAAAGGTTTCATTTCCTGTAGAAAAGTAATACAGGCAGTTTTAAGATTTACAACTTTACCTTTGGTTTGTGTAAAAAAAAAAAAAATTATCTAATTTACAGAGCCCCTGGAAGTAGGAAACAGACAAACAGAGGAAAGAGGTGATGCTCGAATCTATGAAGGCTACACTGGAAATATGTTCATGTACTAAAGGAACAGCTAAAAGATGTAAGAACTTTTTACAAACAGTTCCCTGTTTATTTGTGCTGTCAAAAAGAAAAAAAGGTGTTTTCTCCTTTTCTACTTAAAATAAGAGGTAGAGACTTTCCACAGGGGCACTTAGGGCCTAAAGAAAACATGAGGAAGCTGAAAAGCTGCAGAACATTAATGGGAATACGTTCCAGTAAATCCCGCTAACTTTGTTATTTGAAGACTTGATTCTCATGAACACTACAAATCTTTCAATACCTACTTGTCAAGAGTAACAGTTAAGAATATAGCCGTGGGATTTAAGCTGTTTAAAAAGACAAAAATAAAGCTGAAATGAAATAATAACAAAAAAAAGTTTTTGAGTACCGAAAAGTCAAAATGTTTCAGAATCCGAATCATTTTCATTGTACCCATCCTCTGTTCCTATGTTATTACTCAAGGGCTTATTGTAAGAGTTAATGCTACCCATATTGGAGCCATCGCAGAGATGCGTCCTGCCCAAATTGTCTTTTTTAAAACAAACGAAGTTGAAAGCCGTCATTGAACTGGAAGGAGAAAAAGGCATCATGGTAGCCAAAATGAGTGCCAGGCAGTCAGCCACGTCTTTGTTAGGAGCGCAAGCCAGGGCTGGCGTATGACCTGGGCACAAATGCAGACAAGGCAATGGTTAGTACTAAGGGTACTGAGAATGGCACTGAGCATTCCTCATATACATCTCTAGATGACATCGTAAGCAGGAGATGTATGTTCAGTTACAATCATGCCAGGCAACAGGGGTATGTTACTTATTTTAAATTAGACATGCTGGGAAAATACACACTTTATGGAGCATTTAAATCACTGTGACCACAACAAGCACTATTTTTTTAAAATCAGGCAGCAAACAGACTTCACAATATGAATAAAAGCACTTGCTAAACACAGTTCTACAGCACAGACAGTATGATGAATACAGAACACGGGGGGTACAGCAACAGGGACAGAAACTGGCTTCAGTTTCTGTGCATATGAACAAGTCTCATTCTGAGAACAATGACTTTCATTAGAACATAAAAGATATTAGTTTAAAAACATTTTGAAGTAATAAGCAAATTATTTTAAAGACTGATCAGTTGAGTATCTATTCAACTCAGAAAGCAGCTTATTTAGGAATTAAATTATGAGGGACAAGAATTAGACCAGTGCACGTGGTACATGTATAGCAGGTATGACTACGTGGATGTTTAGTTGCCCAAATTTACATTATGTTAGAAGAATAATGACTGTATTCAGAAAGCATGGCATACACTTTAAATACAAAGTTAATATTCTACAGATGTCAGTAAAACGAAGAACTGGGGAGCTATTAAAAGTTTGTCTTCACTGCAGTTTAACATGGCTCCTGTCCAAGCACTGCCCCTAAAGCAGCTCTTCATGTATACAAATCTTAGAAACCAGTATGCTGATTACCCTTGCTATCTATACGTTTTGCAGGCTGCTATGTAGTACTCCAGCTCTTTCCAACAAATCCTTTATTCTAAGAGCAAAGAGATTTCTTTGAAGATGGCTAAACCTTAAGCGCTGCAGCAATAGTAATCTGAGGCAATGACCGCTACTGATATCCTACTGCCTCAAGTAAGCTGAGAACACCTGCAGTGTAGATGACTTTGGTGGACAAACGTGAGTACAGTTTTGTAGCAAACTACCCACATTTAAGCACTGACTGCAGTGAATGCATACCCTAAAATGGAATTTCCTCTTCCACTGAGTTCCAAGCATGAATATTCTTTAGAGTTGTACTTATACTAAGATTGTACTTAAATTTCTCTTTTAAACTGCATATGCGGCTGTTCCTAGAAAAATTAACTGTGTATCAAATTTAAACTTAATTTTCACTCGTTACATACAGGCAAATTAGCCGGATCTGTATGTACAATTTTAATGATAAAAACTGGTTAGAAGCTAGTCTGGTTCATTTTTCTGTCCCCTATCTCTAAAATGAGGTTAGGGCCAGATGACTTCAGTGGAACTCATTCATGCAAGTATATCTAGGTAGCATTTGGTTAATAGTAAATACTCACCACTCAGTTCTTTTCATCCATAGATCTCAAATGTCTTGCAATGATGGGTGAGTATTATTATTGTTACTTTACAGATATGGGAAGATGGAGGTACCGAATTGTTACATTAATGCCATGAAGTCAGTATTGTAAGAAAGACCAGCTTATTTCAGGAAGACATTTTTGAAAACATTAATTACAGAAGCACAGCCCTCTATGGGCTTTATAATGTTTAGGGAAGGACTTCATTGAGATCTGAAACAAAATTATCAGATTTATTAACTAATCATGTATTTTATGACGCAACAGTAATTTACTTGCATCTTGCATTAGGTCAGACAATTGGTAAGCACAAGCTTTGATCTCAGAATGAACTAGGACACAATCAAACATATGTTGATGGTTTTCTTCCTACCCATTAAAACATGCGCTGATTGAATGCATAATCCTTAATTCTTCTGCAAGGCGTCAGAATTATCCGGTGCCACTTGCATGTTTAGGAAATTCAAGTTACCACTGCACTCAAGCATTAAAAAAGACTAGCTGTTGACAGTACATGCAAAATGAACAGTAAAAAGGGACCGCTTTGATGTTTAGAATACATTTTTATATTAAAGAAAAATAAATAGTATCTTTTTTTTTTAATAGGTACTCACACAGCTCATTGTCTGTTCTTGGAAGGATAAAAGCATCAATGATGTCTATCATCAGCTTTTAAGTCTATTGCTTCGGTCGGTTGTAAAATTACCTGTTGGGTCCTACCGAAGATTGTCAAAGTGTATTATTTACTTACCATTTTCATCTACTGCTAGGACACATGCCCCTTTGGCTAGCAACTCTTCAACCACCATCTTTAAGCCGTTTCGTGCAGCAATATGGAGAGGTCTACAAAAACATAACAATGAAATTCAAGTTCAGTTTAAAACAGACCTTCTAAAAAAAGTTAGGTAATGCTTAAAGCATACCCAGCATCAGAAAGAGAATGTTTTCCTTTTTTGGATCATTACAATTATATTGTAGACATTAACCTTATATTACAGCTTTTAAAATAATCCTCATGTTTCACATCTATAAAACATACGTGCGACACAAATACAATTACCTTTACATACACAAAGATTGCTTAATACTTTCCAGTCTAGAGGCTTTCTTTAAAAAGCTCTCATTTTTCCACTGTTTGCAGCACAAAATTGACATTTAAAAGGAAAATGAATTTAAGACTGAAGAAATGCCTTTGTTCCATCCTTCATTCTGGCTACTACAGTCTGTTCAAAATTACGGTATTGCCTTTTTATCCTTGAATACTCGATTGCTAATCTCTGCTACTGCAGAGCAGCTGGAAATTAAAAATAACCACTGGTTTGCCCCCTTCCTGAGCCAACACCCAATGCTCCCGTTTGGGGACAGCTAGTGAGACAGGAAAAACAATTTCATATTGGAAGGGGGGAAAAAAAGGGCTAAGATGGAATGAATTCTTCTGCAAGCACTAGATGATCTGCCACCTGAACTCGTGGCTGAATCTTCTCCTGTGGGATTCCCCCATACCAGTCAAACAGTTGCAGCTGGGGTAAGAATATCAATGGTTCTAACTCTGCTGATAACGCGTGGTATGGATGGGAGTTGCACATGAAATATCACCTAAAAAAACCTCTGAAAATTAAATGTACCACCTTGAGTCTAAATAAATTATTTAGATTTAAGGTGACGCTCAAAAAGCTAGGAAATGCCAGATGTATACTTACCCATTCACATGATTAATAGACATTTTGATACAGTTTTCAAATACATGACCTCATATAATTTTTCCACCAGACCACATATAGAATAGGCATCAAAGGAATCAAAATTAAAAGTGAAAATGCAATTCAAATTTGGTCTTTTCAAGGGCAAGCACTCAAAAAAATCAGAATTAACTTTTTTGTTCTATGAAAAAATCTGAGACATGAATTTGAAATGCTAAATCGAAATCTTCTGGTAAGTCAACTGAACTTGAGAGGATCAGGCTATACTTACGTCTGCAATGCATTATTTTTTGCATTAATAAGGCTCTGTTCTTGTATCTTGTCAAGTATTAACAAGGCACATTTTTCATGACCCTGTAGTTGGGGAAAAAACCCAAATAGTGTTAATTTGCTGAGGAATTTGAAACTGAGGCAAAAGAAATGTTACATATAAAAGTGCAATTTAGTAACTCAATTTGAAATACAAAACATGCTACTCAGCTTATAAGGATGTGTAGCAGGTGAACTGTAGGAGCCTTACAATACCATTTACAAACTGCCACTGCTAGGATGCTTTAGCACATTTAGAAATTCAGTCATTCACCCTCCATTCATTATATATGAATTCACCTCCTCAGCTTTCAGAGAAGACTGCTGTTTCTCGTGAGAGAGCATTCAATGGATTATTTATTAGAACTACACAGTAACATAGAAAGACATGGTCTAATCTTTCTGGGTCTTTAAATGCCTTTCTGTATTATTGATAAGCTACTACAAAATCCCTTCAGTGTGAGAGCTCTAATAATGAAACTCTGGAAATAATACAGATCCGGGCCTTATTTCTGATACTGTTTCAACACAGCATGTCGCAGATGCCGAGCCTACAGCCCTGGCAGGTGAACAGCTGCCTGAAGGACCTTGAGAATTCAGCGAGGCTCATGTGTCTGCAGAAACTGGAGCAATACTATCACACTGGAATCTAATCTGTGGATAGGAGCGAAAGAAAAGGCCCAGGAGAGGGAATCCCATGGGCATTTTTTCTTGCAGAAACAGCAGTAGCAATTGGAATTAAGAGGAAGAAAGGGTGGGAAAAGACGCCACCACCAATCTAATCAATGCCTCTGGTTTTACTGCTACAGAGCATAAGGGAAAATTTGGGGTTCCTTCCACAGAAATTGGAGAATAAGAAAAAAGAATAAATACTTTTTTTTTTTTTCTTTGCCACTGAACCTATGTTAAGCTATTTTACAGTGAGGTTATTTGGTAAAATCTCAAAGCATTTTCCATTATTTCTCTTAGTTTCCCTTCCTTATGTTTCAGCTGTCATAAGAGGCATCCATATTTCTCAATTTACTAAACCTTGAAACAGACTTGAGAAAAAGCTTGGAACAATTGCTCCCTTCCTCACCACAAGTTTGACCATCACATTTCCATTGCAGAAAAATTTTTAGGAGCATAAACACCCGCATACATGCATACATACAGACAGACAGACAGACTGTGAAGAGAATAGAAGCATACAGAGGTCTTCAACTTACTTTACTGCTAGCCAAGTGCAAAGATGTATTCAACTCCTTATCTTTTAATGTCAGGTCAGCCTTGGCAATGTTCACCAAAAAGTCTGAGGTATAGAATAGAAATCAACGAACAAACCCAATGGGCAGACGAACATGTTAAAACAGAGGAAAAAATTTACTATTTCAATATACATGTGCATACATGCAAATCAATTAAGTCTTTATGTGATGTAAGCTTTATGAACGTGAAGTGAAAATAATCAATGAGAACAGACTAATCTTGTGCAGGTAATCAGCAAGCCAAGGCAGAGCTAATAGCTCATTCACTGTGCCCCAAACTGTCAAACATATATTAATCTTAATTTATTTATAAACTTCCCCATTTGCAGATCAGCAAGTTCTGCCTGAATCACCTTCTCCTGAGAACACCTGTGCATCCTGCTTTGAGAGGACTAAGCGGATGTAAAGAATTTAGGGTGCAGTCTGTACTGTTGAAGCTAGAAGAAAGGGAATTCTGTTAAGCCAATATGACCCTTAATCTGTATGGCTATAGTATACAGTCTAGCCTGGAAAAGCAGCTGCTGATAGCTGCCGTTTTAAGAACAGGACTTCCTATAGTCGAGTGGAGAAAAAGGTTACACAATCTTTTTCACATGTGCACTTTTACTGCTCCATAAAATCAAGGAAGTAAGTCAGAGAATAGAATTACTACTCCCCTCATGCTCTTTACAGTCTGCTCTTAGGAGGAAATAAGACTCAAGTTCGCTATTGTAAATGTTCACCAAGACTGCTGAGAAGAAAAAGAATTTTTTTACAGATGTAAAGGTAGCTTCTTACAGACATCCATACAATTTGTTTTTCTTCCTTAGTTTTCACAGGAAAGAAGTGACTACCTATTTGGGACAGTAACTACAGTAGCACTCAACCTTCAAAACGAACAGAAGCAAGGATGTACTTACCTACAGCACCTATGTGACCATTTTGAGCTGCCATCATGAGAGGTGTTTTCCCTGCGTGATCCGCAGCATTCACTTGTGCGCTGTGACTCAGGAGGAGCTGGAGGCACTCCACATGATCCGCGAAGGCTGCTGCATGAAGGGGTGTTCTGTGGGGAAAGGAACATGACCACAGCTGTTTCTAAAGAATGACAATATTCCTGTTTACTTACCTTCCCAACAACCTGAAAGTGCAAGACATTTTAAATTTTTTTTTCCTATGAAACTTTGAGTTGTCACCAGGGGAACATTATAGTAGCAGCATCAGAAATAAGTTAAATAATATTTACAGTCTCTGTCCTGGTGCAATATAAACTTTAAAAAAAAAGGGAAGCATGAGGTGGATATGACACAGTGCAGATATGATACTGTGGAGAATCTCATATTAGCAGCATATTTATTTTAATGGAGCATACGGCATAATATGAAAAGCAGTACAATCCCTCATTCATCTGATTTTATTTTTTTTAAAAAGCCTAAGATGGGAAGAACTATCGGAAAAGAACAGATCCGTTATTTAAAAAAACAGAAGTATTTTAAGTTATAGTAAAAAATACTGCAGCAACAAGCTACAACAACAGTATTACTATAAAAGGCAGAAGGAATTCTATCCGCTTTGAAGGTTATCAGTTTCCACAAGACTGAGACACCAGAATTCGTTTGCTGTCTCCCTATGGCATTTTGGGTCTGAAGTGTGACTAACAGAGATGAGGGAGAGTTGGTACACAACCCAGCTCATAGCGTTACTTCAGGTTTTGCTTATCAGTAAGGGTGAGGTGGTCTTACCCTTATAGGAGTAAGTAATCACCATTACTGAAGGTCTTGAATTTGTTTTAAATAACAGAAATAATAAATATTCCATTTTTATAATTTCAGCAATTTTGATTAAAATATATATATATATGCACACACACACACATAGTGAGTACATTATCAACGTGACAAATTAAGGATTTGGCTGAATGCATATCTCTTGCTGTATCAGTATTATTTTGCTACATAGATATTTTGAGTTGTGTGCCCTAAGAATGCTAACATAACATTAAAGCTTTTAATGAAATACTTCTCTATGTGTACATAGTATCACTCCATTTAGCAAAAATAAACTTATTTAAATATTTAACAAAGAAAACTGGTTCAGGGAAACAGCCTGTAGGCATAGCTGTTCTAGACAAACAAAATACTATTTCTTTTGTATTTCTTTTCATATGTACTATGAAATTGAATACTTCATGATATTCTTGCTTCAACTGAGCCACCATTTAACTCTGCTGCACTGTTAACTGCTGTCTGAAAGAATCGGCATGACAAGTCTTAGCTCAACCATATCAGATAGGGATTAGTTCCAGAGGTTCCGAAAGAATTATGAAAAATACTGGATGGATTCATGAAGATGAAATGCAATTTGTTTAAGAATCTATTACCTTCCTTTGTCATCTTTGCAATTGACAATGCTGGCATCGATGGCTCCGATGAGCAGTGATGCACAGTTTTCATGATCATTGATTCTGCCAAAGAAAAGACATTTTCAAAAAGGTAAAAAGTCTACATCTTTTCCCACTTTCCAATATTAATTTACTTCACTTCCCATTAATATTTCTTATTGCTTATTTATAAGTTATCCTAACATACCTTTGCCGTAATGCTTTCAGTCACATTTCTCATTATTTATCATCTCTCCATTTAACCAAACTGCATCTGCTACTATGAATTTCGGTCTCTAAAGCAAAGCTGATCCTGCAATTCACTACGCACAAGGGTAATTGAAAGTGCAGCACAAACCTAGGATTAAAACCTTAATACCTTAAAATCCTTTAGTCTTAATGTCAAACACACTTGGATCTGGAAAGCACTCAGTCATAGATACCTACATATTCAAAGCTTTATTCTAATGTTTTGGGTACTGAAGTCCACGTCTCTTCAAACTCACACATTTAATACTTTTCCTTGATGGATGTACTCAATTAATGCTCTTTCTGGTTAATTTGTCTCATTTCATTATGAAAATAAACAGTGTTTAGTAACAGTATTGGACATATGGTATAGCTAACACACACCCTTGCTGGATTAGCAGCTGGTTTAGTTTTAAATTTGCATGCATTTTTAAGTTGCACACATTTTTAATGGGTTTGAGAATTACATACTAGTTTAAAAGAATATAAATATTGGAAAAAAAAAATTTCAAAGCCATCACCAGAAATTCAGATTTCAAATACTATGTTTCAGCCACAAATGATTTTATTTTAAGCACAGTAAAAACAGTGCTTTATATATGCTTTTATTTCTCTAATATATTGGGTTTTTCGTAATTTCAAAGTTTGGTACGTGACAAATTACTTTTCTGCTTTCCAATGATGCGGACTGTAGAAGGGAAGCCTACGCAATAGTAACTCCTATCACTACTTCTGGAAGGCATTCATTCTTCCCATAAAACACAGAATAGAATACAGTCATTCTAGTTGTTGGCAGAAATTAGGAAGGTTTGCATTTGTTTTTTCAGTGCTTAATTCCTTACTCTTCTGATGGCTTACATGTTTTAATAAGCGTGTTAGGTCCGACAGACTAAAGTAATCTTGCATTTAAAAAAAAAATTCATTTGTAATTATGTTATGAAAAGTTACGATTTTGGTCTGTCAGAATTCTTCCCATATGAAAACATACTGCTTTATTGAATAACGAATACATATAAAATACATGCATGGAAGAAGATGAATACCTCATAATAGCCACCACCTTTTCGTTGTTCATAATTAATATGAGAACTTTGGATACAGAGTCTGCCTCTATAACCGATCAATCCCTTTGGCTAGGACCTGGGTAAGAAGTACCAAACCTTCAAGACAGAGATTATCTCAGAAGGAAAAAAGACCATGAAGAAAATCGGTCTGGAAAACACTCAGCTGAGGATGTTTTGGAAAAAATATGGCCTGCACAGAACACCATTCTAGCATGACATAGACTGTTGTTTCAAATCCTTCCTTCATTAACGCTTTGTTCCCAGTGCTAAAAAAAAAAAAAATCATCTTGATTCTGACAAATTTCTTAACTTCCAGCCATTGAGTTTCAAAGGAACCTCAGAAGTTCATATTTACAGGGACCAAGGCACTATAGCCCTGGTCATGGCCTAAGAATGGAAGAGCTATGAAGTTCCAGCCTGTGTGAAGAAAAGGCACAGGTCTGTAGTTGTAAGCAAGGGAAAAGAAAGTAGAAAGGGAGCAGAAACGCAGCTATTTAATTACAAGTCAGAATTTCATCAAATAGCCTAAATGTATGAAATTTATGCAAAAATACTCTTTATTGTACTACTTTTTCAGCAGAAGTACCATTTTATTATCAGCTTTAAAATTATTTGCTCATGCAAATAATCTAAAAACAACAACAAAAAGCTTTTTTCTCACACTGCTATTTTTTCCAAATATATCCTAAAGCATTTGTTACTGGAGATTTCTACTTACACGGCACAGTGCAATGGAGAGAAACTGTTACCATAGAATGTGCGGAAAAATTTTTGTTCCAATAGTACCTCTATGCAGTTTTCATGACCTGTAAGAACAGACATTTCACAGTGTTGCACAAAACAAGTAATTCACTTAATTCATATTAGGCTTATACAGATTAGAATTTAACACTAAATTCAAAGTTGAATACAATGTCTGTATAATTTTATCACATAAGAGCTTATAAACAGTTTTGTTTTTTTTTTTTTTTTTATGGCAGCAGCAAGATAGATCCAGGCTAATATTAGCACTTACTGAAAAACAGGAAAGGAAAAAATTCTTTTTTGTGTGATGTTATGTATGTTGCCTTACACATCTCCAAAGATGGTCTTAAATGATGGTATTAGGAAACTTTATCCTTATATTAAGCAACAAGTTCAGATTATCCAGTTTAGAATAATCAGTTCAGTTCAGAATATCCATCTATTCACGTGGTCTCTTGCATCGATAAATAAGAAGGTGACACCTCAAAGGAGCATTCGCGGCCCCACAGAAATCAATGAGAATGTCATCACCGACGTCAGTAAAACCAGAATTTCACCCTGGCCTCCTGTGACTGGAAGTAAATGAGCTGCAAAGCCCCTGGGAAGTATTGCTGGAATTTCCTTGGCTTCTGAACGGGAGGGCGAACATAGCAAATGCTAACTACAGGGAGCAAGTAGAGGGGAGATAATTTTCCCCTTCATTTCAAGCTTCTCGAAGTGTTAGGCTGCTTTGTCATCATGTTTCCCTAAAACTGAGGCCACATTTGGCCTTGGCAAAAGTCCGCAGGGAGAAACTTACCGTTGTAACAAGCCCAGTGCAGCGGTGTATAACCTTGATTATCTTTCAAACTGCAGTCTTCCTCTGAAAGTGCTATCTGCAGTAATTCACTCAGCCAAGTGGCATGACCCCGAGCTGCTGCAAAGTGCAGAGGTGTTCTGCCTCTGGCGTCTTTACATAAAATAGATACTTCTTTCTCTAACAGCATCTGAACACACTCTTCGTGCCCAGTCATAATCTGATAACAAAGAAATGAGTAAAGAAGTTGACATAATACAGATTCTTGCCCAGGAAATATGGAATATGACCGATGCCTGTGGACATGAAACGGCCTGGATGGGATTCAGAAGGCAGAGGTGAAAGCCCTGTGCTCCCATGAGTACCTATGATAACTGATACACTGAGGTGTATTTGGTGCTGTCTTTCAAAGGCATTGATTCCTAGTCTGTGGAAGAGACTCCACTAAGTGAGGTGCAAAAGCAAGGAGGAGTTTAAGACTAAGGAAACAGATGAACAAGGGGTGAGGTTCAGAAAACGAGAGTCTGGCTTCTCAAAACCATGTACGAATAAGAGAACTGAGGGAAAAAAGGATCAAGAATATCATCAGAAATTGGAAAAGCTGCTTTAACAGCTGGCCAGCTACTATCAAGGACCTCTGCATCATACATAGGTTAGCTTTGGTATCTTGGTCACGTTCATGTATTGCTATCAATACAGAACAGAAATGTTATGCCATAGCTTTTATTATGGACAGGTGTTGGACTCCTAAGCTAAACTGCTCACTGCAGTTATCATAGAGTTCTGTATAAATATCATCTCTTGCATCAACTTCACATGGGGTAAGAAGCAGACTCCTCAAAAAGATTGGATCTGCCTGGAGTTTCACTGCCTCCAGATCAAAACTTAAAGCTTACTTTTTACACCATCCTCCCCAAGAAAAATGAAAATAACTGCTGGGCAGTTCTTTTAAAGAAATTATTTTCATAAGGTGCTCCATTATATGAATAATGGCTGCCATTGTAAAGTGTCTAGGTCCAAGAAAAATCGGTCTAATCAGTATTTTATATAATTAATTAAAGTGAATGTGAAATAAAGGCAAAAGCAGAGCATTACTGAGAGTAGATCTGTCCTGCTTTTTACCTCATTGACTGTGCTTGGTCAGGTTTCCAGACATTTACAGCATTCTCTACATTTGATATCCCTGTATTTGTAAGTGAGTTGTAGTCACAGTAAAACAAATAATTAAGAATCATAAAAATTAAGTCACCCCTCGATGTAAAGCTGTGCATCCCAGGAGATCAGCTGCATCTACAGATGCTTCTTTTTCAAGTAATAAAGAAACAGCATCAATGTGCCCATATGCCACTGCAAGCATTAGTGGGGTTCTAGAAAAAAGCAAAAACAAACCAGTCACAGCTATAAAATGACATACTGCTTGCCTCTGCTAGCTTATAGGAATAGAGAAATCAGCAAGCCTTGCATTTCTCTCCATTTCTATCCACAAACCTGTTTCTTTTACCATACTCATCTATATAACACCCAAGTGAAGACCTTTGGTATGAAATTATTAAGATGTTTAACAACCAACTACCATGACTGAAATAGAAACAAACTCATTCGTAAGCAGTTTACAGAGCAACATCATTCAAGACAATCTGTTCTCTTAATAACCTACAATTACTGTCACCTCCAGCGACACACGAGCTTTACAATACCCAAGCACCGTGAATGAATGTACCTGCTAGTTACCGAGATGACAACCACGCAAAACATTTCTTTTGCAAATGCTGCACAATTGCTTAAAGGGGATGAAGGGACGTGAGGAAACTATTCAAGCCAAAATTCAATTTTTTTTTCTGGAAGGGATCTGTTCTCCTTCCAGTTTTAGATAAGACTAATACCATTTAAAATTATATGTATAGTCAGATATGTTCCAGGCACCCCAAATGAGTTTTTTTAAACCATTCCCATTTTCACTTTTAAAATATACTTTATTCTCCCTCTATAACTGTCATTTAACAAGAAGTATAATTTTTGTAGGAACATCTCAGATTCGTGTGTCACCTCAAATAAACATTCTGTCTCACTGCACCAGCCTAATATACCAACTAAACCCTGAAATAGCAATGTTTTAGAAAGCAAAAGACTCTCTATAGAAACATCTCAGCAGCTTGTTAGTTTTTATTGAATCTGGCCCTCAGCATCTATGAAGAATTGTTTAGAGTATGAAGCAAAGGCTAAGATTAATGAATAATCCCTTCCACATGGCTTAGATCAACTGAATGTGTGCTTTGTAATCTCTGCCAAATTCTACAAGGAGAAGTGCAGGAAATACAGTATTTCAAATAAATGCTTTTTTAGTAAGAAATCTGAGATGCTATTTGAATCACAGAGCTGAAAGAAAATCATCACAAAGAAACTTACTGTCCTTTGGCGTCTGTCACGTCAGGGTTGTCTGCAACTTCTAGCAACAACCGTAAACAAGGTGTATGGCCATTAATGACTATAAAGAAAAAAAAGGATGTTTAATTAAAATATGTTTAATTTCAGATATTTTTCCATTGGAATGCTTACGGATAAGAAATTTCCTTATAAACAAGGAAAATATTCCACAATATAAGAAATTAATATTCCCACAATTTTCATTTAACTTGTGCTGATGAAATGCTGAGCTTTTTTCCCTGACCTCAGTAAGATGAGGATTAGTTCTCTTACATACAAAAATCCCAAATGAGTAAAACAGAAATCGTGATTTTCACTGCTGCGGTATCTATTAAATCAGACAGCATTTCAAAATCCCTCAGAGTGAGCGGGCAGACAAGGCTTTCCGCGATCAGATCTGGAACGCAGTGCGAAGTACGTCGGCAAGGCTCGCTAATTTTGTGTGCACTGTAGAAGCAAGTTCTTCAGCGCTGCTATGAAAAACGAAGCATCTGCAAAGAATGACCAATGATACAAACGTCATATTTGTAACAGCACGTAACACCAGAGACTAAATTCCTTTGGGGTTTTTCCAGCTTTTCTAGTTATTGGAAGCCACAGCTACTTCTCAGAAAGGGGGTTTCCTTTTTAAAATGTAACCCATTGCTGTTGGAAAACAGCTCAGAGTTACTACATTTTGCACAGCCTGACACTGGAAACCCATCTGTGTGTCAGCTGGCTTAAAGGCTTCAGCTTTATACAACTCATGGGATGAAGGAACAGTATTTTCTTCTTTGAAAAACAATAATTCCTGTACTCAGTAGATAGAGATTTTATTCCTATTACAGCAAGTCATGCATTCACACTGCCTACACCCTGTGGGCTGAGGCAAAACCCTTGGACACCACCTATGTCACATCATTCTGGCAGAGAAATGGGCGGACATCATCACATTTAAATCACTCATCCAAAAATAATCTTAGTTGCTCTACCCAAAAAAAAATAAAAGATATTTTTAGTTATTTACCAGTAAGTAATGCCATATACATAACATGTAAACAGTTCTATGGGGCTGATGAGTCACTGGCTTACGGGGGGGGGGGGGGGAGGAAATCTGTTCTTTCTCCCAGCAGGAGGAAGAGAAATCATAACTTGTTCACACCAATGTCTGAAAAGGATTTTGGTAAATGAGTTTTAGAACAGATACTCCCAGAAACTCTTAGGAGCTGACCCAGCGATTGCTAAGCATTACAGACCCTGCAGGGAACATTAGTTTTGCCAACAGAGCTACAACACTAACGCTAGGGGAACATTTGCAATGGATTCCCCAAGCTAGCCAGAGGAAAGACTGGTGGTAATAAAATTACACAGGGAACATATAATTTAGGCGAAGGAAGTTCTCCATGTTATGAGGTCAGAGGAAGTCTGTTCCCTGAGGGGGACAGACAGAAAAAAGAAATACTTCATTAGGTGATTTCTCTCCTAAAGTTACAAATCCCTTTACTGAATGGAGCTCTGCAGAATCCTGTAATCCAATCCACCACTTCAGGTCTCCTTAACTGTTGTGTTCTGCAGTTGTGCTTGTGTAATTAGAAGGAATGAAGGCAAACACGTTTAAGGGGATGGGCAGACATGCCTTCTTGTTTCTTTCCAGTGCGCAGGCAATACACGCAGGTATTCACTTTCGTGTGTGCAAATGCGCACTGTCACTCAAGGAATTCAGCAAGAATTCTGTCTGATCTCTCAAAATACGCCAATTTACCTCTTACTCTTGCATTGCAAATAAAAAACGCTGGATACTGCAGTGGCACCATGCAGAGTTTCTGATAGGTGGCATCGTTCTTTGCTAAAACACTCCTAAACAAAATGTACTGTTATGAAACAGCATAATAAAAATCATCAGATTGCAAGTGGCTTTTCATAATAGTTGGAGATAGAAGCTTTATTCTGGAGCTAATTTTCACAGAACTCTGCATAGCTCTTCATCTAAACGTTGCCTTAATGGATATTTACCCAAAGTGTACTTATCTCCCATTTTAAAGCTTCCAAATTCGTGACAGTGATAAATTGCCTTTACTAAGAGTTCAGATATTCAACGTGTCTGCGCAGTATTTTTCCTTCTTACAGTACATGTTTTCTTTAGTGTCTCATTCCTGTGCATAGGGCTTTCCTGCTTCTTGCCTTCCCCCCCCCCCCCCTTAATACACACCTAACTTATTTTGTTTCACTGCAGATTTAAATAACATTTTGCTTATATCCCTGGAATATTTTTTAAAATTTAAAATCTGATTTTTTTTGTAAGCAAAAAAACATCACAGGCCAGAAAAGTCTACAATGAATATTCCTACTGGTTTTACATGGAAGGCACTCATACTACAGTGACAGGGTCAATTAAAAAATAAATTAAAATAAGGGAAAAAAAACCAAAATCAGAATTTGTATGAAGGTAAGAAATGTGCATATTAAAATAACACCTTCTGTTCAACAAATCTACTCAATTCCCTTCAACAAATTCATATTTTAAGCCAAAGCTGCTAACAAAAATATGGCTTTGTTACCATTTACTCTTCTCAGTACTGCAGAACCCTTACAATTCAGCTGTGACAACAAGAAACCTATGTCACTATAACCAGATTTTTAAATAAATGCAAAATCATTGCTATAGTGATGATGTACCAGACACCTGGTCACACCTTGTTCATCATCAGACCCCAAGCTATATTTGAAGTGGCTATAAGAAACCTCTTGACCAACACAGCTCCAGTTTTGTGGTGGCACCGATCTTGATTTAAATTAATTAAACCAACAGTTTTAACATGGTGAGGATCAGCCGGATTTACTATTTTGTGTTTTTATCAAAAACAACTAAAACCTCCTCTCACTGAATTCTGGTCTCAGACTTCTGATATGTAAGCTCTGGTAGCACACCTCTGTATCATTAGTTTATTGTGGGGAGTAATGTACTCAGTTCTGATGCAAAATTTAAGAAGGCGGAAAGCATTTTTTAGTATGCTGTGAAGATCTATTGTGCACATTTTCTTCAGTACTGCACACAAAATTGATACTAGCCTATTTGACCTTATGCTTCCAGGTTGCACTTACATGATCACACACAGAGAACAAACTGGTATTAGAGGATGTATATTCAGTTTCATCTAAGCAAAATTAAAAGATAAACGGAAAGGCAATTAAGTCTGGCCCTGAAAAGAACTGCTATCCAATGAAGTATTAATTTTACTTCCCACTAGAGGTCACTGCTATGCTGTACTGAGCCCCTCGCTGAAGAGCCAGAGGAGCAACGTTCCCGTTGGCACCCCCGCATATTTATCTGACAGGTACATATTAAATAATAACCTTTAAATAAATGGCAAATTCTACATTTTCCAGTTAATTATGCACGTTGCATAATTAACACTCAACACATAAGGAATGGAGCAGACTCCCAGCAATAGCAAGTTCACAAGCTAGCTCAGGAGGAGGATAATGTCTGAAAGGGGGTGAATTTTTGTAGTGTTGCCCCTGCAAAAGGTTGAAAGTTTTGAACACCGGGATAACTCCATCACCAGTGAGAGCCTACCTGTATTTCCAACCCGTCTTCCCTAGGAGAAGCTGTGAGGCAAGTGTTCTCTCTTCCCCTGAATTTTTGGCTGAGGAACCATTAAGAGAAGGTGTTGTAGGGGAAACATCACACATCTTAAAAAGCAGGTGGTAATAGAGAGGTAAAGTAAAGTAGAGGCAAGCAGGTAAGGGCAGAGCAGTAGCGGTGTGGAAAAATATGGGATTCTCTGTGAGGGAGGACTGCACCACTGGGACGGAGGAAAAAAGACCAAGGAAACGAAAGATAAGAGTTAAACTGTAGAACCTCAGCAAACAAGCAGCAGTCCTCAGTACAAGTCAAAATCTCCTCCCGTTTAGAAGAAATGTGCATAGGGATACTAGGTCGGTAAAGGTAACTGCTTCTGTGTTGTAGCATTTATACCACAAGCATAACATAAGATCACACTCACCTGAGGCATGGAGGGGGGTCCTTTTGGTGACATTGTCTTTTACAGTGACAGAAGCACCCTGGCTAATGAGAGCTTCCACGCACTCTGCATGTCCTTTAAACGCAGCCAGGTCCAAAGCAGTACGTCCCTTCTCGTCCTTAATATCCAGATCTACCAGCGATTGGAGAAGTACCTCCAAGGCTTGATGATGACCATTATAGGCCTAGAAATATGAAATGAGTCATGTAAAGAACACAACTCTTGTCTTTCAAAGACTTTCACATAAAATGTGAATACAATCCATCATTGTCACAGTCTCCTAAACACAGTAGAAATGACACAGTTTTCTTGATTCCTTATGACTCTCTCTTCAACTTGAAAGGATTTTCCCAAATTATACTGTAGCCAAGAAACTAAAAAATTCCTAGTGTTTAGGGACAGAAATTATGATTGTTGACTTGCTCTGACCTTCTAATACAACCCAAGGTGAGGAATTTCAGGCAATGATTTGCCAATTCAGCACAGGCTAATCAACAATTTATTTTTCACATTCTACAGTATCTTTCAGGGAAATGTTTGCTTCAACAACTAGATTCACTACTGATGCTGGTCAGAGGTTGCATGGATTATCACCTAACTGGGTGCTAAATTCAACACATCTGCTAGTCTCCAACTAAACGAAAGCAATTATCAAACCAGATTTTTGTGCAAATACAAACACAAACTTGACCTGCTGTTTACAGCTGATGCTTCATGGACTATTCCTGCCAGTAGGATCATTTGGTAGAACAGCTACAGTGGACAAGTAGATGCACTTCCAGACCTACAGCCACATTTGGGCCAACAGCACACACACAGGTGACATTGCAAAACCCCAGTGGATAGCGCCAAAAACTGGAAACATTTCATTCAGCTTTATAGGGACTGATCTCCTTACTGTGAGACTCACAGAGAACATCCTTTTATTTATACGTGAACGTATAATTAGTATTACCCGAGTTGAAGCAATTAATGAAAACAGAAGAGAAATGCAAACATGAAGGAACCAAAGAGCCACTGAATTTCAAGGCTAAGTAGTGGCAGCAGCAGCTTGCTCCTATTGACCGTTGTCAAAAGTTCAAAAGAACAGGACAGTGCAGGGAACAAACAGTTGTTTCCCTGTTAGACCGAGACAACTACTTAAGGAAAGCAAAGGCAAAAGCAGAAAAAGAAAAGCAAAGGGAGATTATGGCACAGGGAACCCATATCTCAGAAAATACTCCAATGCAGTTGTCAGCTTTTCTTCTTCATGACAATTTTATTTAGAAAACAACTAGCAACAACCTGATCTTTGACACAATATGAGGTATCTATCTTGAAGGCGCCATGCAGACTGTATAGCCCATCCTCTCCTTGAAAGGATAATAAAGTTGACTTTTTCTTCTTGTTGGTTTGCCTTGTGCAGCCATTTATGCAACCATCACCATAATCACGCACCATAGCCTCAGAGAATGGCAGGTCAGTATTTTGTTGGCTGCCAGTACACCCCTTCTTTCTAAAACCAATTTCCACTCTAGGGTCAAACGTCTGTAAGCAGAGGCTTTGGTCACTGGGCTGCATCAGCCATTTGACAGGACTTCATGTTTTGGGGTAGGCTGCTGGCTTTCTGGATCTATGTGTGGAGACATTCACATGGACACTGCTGGGCCTGGGGAAGGATGACCACAGGTACCCTAAAACATGGGAGGGTTTGAAACAAATACCAGAGACGCTCCTGGATAGCTGCAATTGAACTGTGAAATGGTGGTTTTATGTAAGCTTTTTTATTTTTAAACTGTGGGTTTGGGATGCCTCAGGTGAATGAACTGCTGTTAACCAGCAACAGATACAAGAGGGAGAGCCGCTGGCAGTGTCCTTGCAAGGACTCTGCCCAAGAGGGACCAGAGAGGAAATGAGTTTGATGTCTAGCCTGCTGCAGGGCAAGTCCCTTCCCAGCACAGGAATTCGTGTTGGTGATAGTGCAGGCTGCAACTCCTCTTTGGGCTTGGGAGTGACACTCTCCTTCCTGCAGTCTTCAAATTGCAGGAAAAAAAGATGGGGAGAAGAGTTCAGTGACAAACTCAGCCTTTTAACCTAACTGTTGTGGCTCTTGTTCCCTCAGATTATGCATGGATAAGTCAAACGTCAGGTCAGAGCTGTTCTGGCTGACTGGAAGAGATATGATCGCTATAGAACTAAAACTTGCCCCTATTTTTGAGTAAGCAAGTTGCTTCCCTTTCAAGAGGAGGGCAGCTTCATGGTGACGTTGGATATTCAGTGAAGAGCCAGTCTGTGAAAGATGTATGAGGAGAGGCTGAGAGAGCTGGGACTGTTCAGCCTCAAAAAGAAAATGCACAAGGTGGGTCTTACCAATGTGCATAAACACCTGATGGGGGAGGAAAGAAGACAGAGCCAGACTTTTCCCAGGGGTGCCCAGTGACAAGACAAAAGGCAAATTTAAACACAAGAAATTCCATTTACTGCAAAGAAACCCATTTTTACTGTGATGGTGGTCAGACATTGAAATAGATTGCGTGGAGGCTGCAAACTCTCCATGCTTGGAGATATTCAAAATGTGGTGGGGCACAGCCCTGAGACAACTTGCTCTAGCTGACTCTGCTTTTAGCATGGAGGTGGGACTAGCTGATCTCCAGATGTCCATGTCAACCCCAACTATTCTGTGATTCTGCACAAGAAAACTGGGAAGAGGGATCATGAATCTTGAGCTCTTGGGAAAGGGGAGCTATTGTGATCTCTAAGGCCACCATGTGCTGGATTCCCTTTTGATAGCACAGTTTCCATGGCATGCTCCCAGGGCACTGCCGGGGTTTAAGCATGCTTTCCCACACCTTGCTGTGTACCAGACAGTTTTTTTGCACTCTGCACATCTCTAGGAGAACATCAGTGTATCCCATTCCATGATCAAAGCCACAGGCTCAAGCTCCGGCCCCAAATTTATAAACTAATTATAAATAAAAGTTGCAGCTTTCCATTTAATTTCACTTCAGTGTCTGTGTCTTCTTCTTACCCAAGTGTTAGAGTCAATAAGAATAAAGAGCTCCAACTGTCAAAAGATTAATTAACAATTTCAGCCCAGAACCTGGTTTTGTTACATCTAGGCCTACATCCCTTCCCAGCTTTTTCAAAACAAGACTATGATTAAACCTGCTTCAAAGACAGAGATTAAGGAATTATTCTATCAGCTAATGATCAAACACTTTATACATGTCTCATACTTACAGCTAAATGCAAAGGACTTTTCATAGCTGCAGAATCAGATTCCTCAAACATATTGTTGGTTTTCTCCAGAAGCTGGGGGGGGGGGGGGGAAAAAGACAGTCTTAAAACATCATAAATCAGCAGACAAAGATATATTTTGTCCTCAGATGTCCGCAGTGAATACTGAAGGACTCTAAGAAATAAATACTTCACATCCTTTTCTGTAAAGAATTTTCAAGTTTTTCGCCACAGGGTAAAGTTATAAAACTAGTTTTAAAGCTTGTCATGAACATCCTTGCGCTGATTAATTAGTTTCCCTGAAATCATAGGGCCTGCTTGGGTGAGAAAGGAGCCCTCAAAAGGAAGGGGTTGTGGAGCAGAGCCCCCAGTAAGTTTACATTGGAAAAAGCACAGTTCATGATTACAGACGTAACGCATATGCAAGCCATGTCTGATACAGTGTTTCAGATAATTCTGACACATAATTAGCACTGGGAATAATTATAACTGAGCTGTGAGTCATTCACAGACATTTTTATAATTTATCAAAGTAGAACCTGCTCCTATAATGACAGTCTTCTGAAATGTAACACATCCTTGAACTCCTATAAACATCTAATAACATGCACCACCCTTCCATATGACCCTCTTCATTTCAAGAGATCCCAAAGCATTTTAAGGCTTAAACAAACAGGGCATTTCTGTCCATCTAGAAGGAGTAACTATGGATTAGCACCACTCCACAATAGCACATGAACCCTGACAAATTATCCAATTGAGGCTGCAAAGAAAATCATACACAGTATTGACAACAACATTGAGAATTCAACATCTGTTGAGTAGCACTGCTCATGTGCATGGTCTTTTACCTAGTAACGACTCAAAGAATTAGTCTCCAAATACCTTTGTGACTAGAAATTATCATTTTACAGAAAATCAGTAATAGGAGATTGTAAAAAGGAAAGAAAAGCATGGCAGGTAACTACAACTGTCTTGTAATGTTTCTAAGGTTACAAGTCAATTTTTCACACAGGTTTTTTGAGGGTTTTTTTTGTTAGAGTAAGGAATTAATTAAAAGACTGCAAGAAAAAAAAAAGAGGAAAGGAAGTTTTTGCGACGCTCTGGGCAATTCCAGCGTTTGACAACATGGAAGACTCTACAAAGAGGCCAGTGAAAGCCTATGGTAGGCACGGAATTTACCTGCCTCCACTGCAAGATCATGGCATATCCTAAACTCTGATGTATGCCTGCACTTTTGGTGTAACAAATTAGTCTTTAATAGATTTACATCAAGGACAAATTTCTTCAAAAATCAAACTGGCATACAACCTAGTATTAATAATTCATAAGGTGTCACAAATCTCTTATTACAAGGACACTAGTCTGAATCCTATGGAAAAGCTAGAAAATTAAGCAGTAATTTTGTTTATTTGTATATTTTGTGCTTAGTAAAATGTCAGGACTGGGAAAGAAATGTTTGTTGATGCAAACAGGACTCATAAGCAAGTGGGTGTGTGTATTAACAGGTAATACAGTTTTTAACACATCCCTGCAGCTAAGGAGAAAAAAAAAAAAAACAAACAAACATCAAGTCCCACACCAGTTTTTCAGTAGGTTTGGGGCAGGGTTAGGAAACACATTTGGTCTTACCATGTAGAGCCACCTCCAGTTTAAAATATTGTTCTTCTCGTATATAAGACAGCTATAAACAGGACGAAGCAGTAGCCAGCTCTCAATACATGAATACCTTTCTGATTTTCTCTAGCGAGTAAACGAACTAAAAAAAATCCCACCAAACAAACCCAAGCACTAAGCCTGTTCCTTTGCCTGCCTAATACTGGCCTATGTTCTGAGTCTCTAAGGCCAGCACAGCAGACTAATTTAATCACTTTTAATTACATTTATCATCATCTATTGAAATTCCAGGATCAAAATCTTAACATAGAGATACTTCCCTTAACCTGCCAGAAGGCTCCAAAAGTCTTGTGGAACAAGGTAGATAATTGCCTTTCAAGTAGATGAAAAAAACACACAGAAAATTGACAAAATTAAAGCTTTAATGGAATAAATTGTGGGATTGGAGAGCCCCTCACAAAAGGCATCTCTATGGCTTAAGAGTTAAAGCAGCTTAGGCTGGTGCAGACTAGGCTTAATGAGCTTATTACTCATAAGGCTGAATGTCTCCATCATAAAGTCAAGCGTAAACAAGAATTTGATGATAAACCTGGTAGCTCTCAGATACATAGCCAGACAGTGCAAGAAGAGAAATTATAAGGGAGAGCAAGAAGAGGAAGATTAAAGACACGGCACTAATAATTTTTTAGTATGCCTTGTCAAGCACCGCTTTATAACAATTAAAACTAAGTCATCTGAAAGATAAACATCATGCTCAAAGAGACAAAAAGTACCAGGTCCAAGTTACCAAGCAAATTCTCCAGTTTCACTAGTGTTTCTGTGGTTCTAAGAATGCATTTATAGTAAATTACATATACTTGTTATAAGAACACATAAAACAGTGAGTCCTTGGGGGGCTCTAGCTCCATAATGCTTCCATCTTAAGAGTATATTTGTAAGAAGCTACCCACAATTGCATCTTTTTAAAAAAGCTGAATTTATCACTCAAAACCATTTGCCCTGACAGCCATGGAAGCTTAAATCCACAGACCCCGCAGAGCAATCCAAGCATCTCTGCTGTACTGCAATACATACCCGCTTGCTAGAAGCTGGCCAATGCATTTCACTGAAGACAGACAAATAAGGATGAATTACTAACAGTTTGTGGTTACTGGTGGCTGACTGCAGAACGTCCCAGCATATCTAACGTCTAATTTCTTGTGCCATTGAAATTACGTCTTTTAGCTGATTGCATTTCTATATATTAATTGTCTGCAGATTTTAAGCGGATGTCAGAAATGTGCAGAGAGGCTGCAAATGAAATTGGTGGGCACAGTTCTCTCTGGTTAGGTCATAACCTTTTAAAAGGTAAGGATACCCTTACTTCTCTTTCTGCGTCTTGGAAATTCCCAGCACGACCCCTTCACTTCCCATAACATCACTATTTAATACTGTATGTAATTATTTTGTAAAGTCTTCTTCACACTCAGAAATAGGAACTTGAAAGCTTTGGGAGTGAGATGCAGACAAAGTAAGATAAAACATGTCAATTATTCAGTTCTATTGTTACGAACTAATAGCACTACAAGGCTGCTATTATAACCTGTCTTCTCTCCCCCAGCTCTGTATGAAGATTAATAACATTTACAGTTCTCACAATTTTATTTTATTTGTATGGTAAGGGTATTTACAGACATAAGAGGCTTTACTGCTTGATTTTATTCTGTGGTTATAATAAAGGATTATATGGGAGGATATGGTATGGGGGGTTTTCCCCCCTCAATTTTTTTATTTTTTTTTTTTTTTTTGACTCAGAAGTGCCAGTTAATCAGTCAGGGTAGTTCTTATGATTGCCCTTATAGACTGTAATTTATTCTAAAATTCAGCTCTGGTTAAAAAAAAGCTTCATGGAGCATCTCAGTAATTTAAAATTACCATTAGGCAGAAAAGGAGATAATACTTTCATCATGCATAAAAGGTTTAATCTACACTTTTAAAAGGAAGATGTCAGAAGCAACTGCAAGCCATAGACACTGTAATGATGGGTGCTATCTCAAATCCTAAAAGAGAACAGAACGCATGATTCTGTACAAGCCGTCACGCACCCACACCTCTAGGCACAGACATTTAAGTGCACTACCGGTAGTTATGTCAAAGGTTTGATCTAACTACCACTGAAGTTAAAGTGACTTTTCTTTGAGAGTTTTACTATTTTAGTGAGTAAGGCAACTTCTACATTCCAATACGCATACTTCCAGCACTGTTAATGAACTTCTTCAGTTTGGTGCTATTAATACTAACTAAAATGGCAAAACATTAGATTACATGTGTAGAATCTATAAATGGCCTTTACTCTGAAAGGTTACTAAGCAAACAGCGTTCAGAAATCTTCACACACGCGAAGAGCTGATCAAAAGGCAATTAAGACAAAAGAAATAGTTGAACGTTACTCTTATGCAATAATGACATAGCAATGCTGCTTATCGCTTACAAGGTCATTCAGAAGTAGCAATTAGTAACAATTTTTAATGTCACTTTCAGAACTGAATAAAAATATATCAGCTAGGATGTCACTTTGAATCTCATTTTTCCTGACAAACTGTAATAGGTAATTGTCTCTACTGGGGAAAAACATACCAGGAGCAGCTTCTTTTAAGTAAAGACTTTTCCAGCAAGCAGCAAGCACAAGATTGAAGACTCTCATCAGTTGTTTCAGATGAGATAGAAAAGTGTAATAGAATTAACCTCTGTACTACTTTATACGAGGGACGCACATTTTTAAATTTCAGAATTATTCTTGATTGAATAATTCAAAGGTGAAGTGGTACAAATATATCCTCAGGGGGGACAAGCAATCCTATAAGCTCTCTCCATATGTGTAAATACCAATGACCAAATTATTTTAATTTGATCAGGTTAAAACCCATACAGATCCTTAACCCAGTGTCTGACATGTTTTCCTAAAAACAGGCTTTAAAAATGAGACTAATCAGTTTACATCAATTTCACTCACGTGCATAGATTATGGATGAAGTTAAAATAACATAAGCAAGAAGTCATTTCACAAGAGCTTAGGTAGACTGAGTCTGAAGAAATTTATTAGTAGTTCCATGCAACTCTTCCGGTACAAAGTTTAAATATCCAATACCCTACCAGAACAGTCACCACCATGCAAACAGGACACTTACCTGGCATATAAGAGAACAATGTTCAAGTCTTTAAACATATCTAAATCTCAAAATTCAAGCAGACCTCCGGGCCACTGGCTGTTCTCACGTGGGGCACTAATCTTCTCTCGGAGCTCTTCCACTTCATGCAAAATCATTTCATATTAAGCCATATGAGTGCCATACTCAGTGGGTTATACAGGAGATTCTCACCCAATGAGTATTTATACAAAGCAGGACAGCTCCAAACGAAAGCAAGAGATCCTATGCAGTACCAGCCAGCATAACATGTTGGTCACCTCCCAGGATGTA